CGTTTTCGTGAATTAGTTGTGTTGTCAGGGTGATGTCAATGGCACACCTTATCCGGGTTCCCATTGTTAGCACTTGACGTTTCGCCCGCATCGTCAGTGAGTCATGGCGCTCTTAGCACCAAGCTTAAAACTCGTCAGAGACAAATGAAGTCAATCCCTTGACTAATTTTCCACTGAACGATTGTGCTATCACTCCTGTCCTGGCATGTCTACTTACTCCCTACCCTCAGTTCACACAACTAGTTTATATTCGATTTCTTTAGCTGTTAGCCTTTTTATATTGGCGTTGAGAATGGCAAGACTCACTGATTATGCTGGTGAAACGTCTTAGAATGTGCCAGTTCCATGATCCATCGCTGGGAATGATCTCGTGCAAAGTGTGTCTAACTCTAACTCCCTCGCAACACGATTAATATGCGTAAACAAGGCCAGACCTATTCAATAAGTAACCTAGCTAGTGAATTTAAGGCAATGGCACGGATTTTTGAAACCAGTTGACCTTTGGTATGTTACATTTTGATATCGACATTACCGTATTTCTTGAGACAATCACCTGGCCTAATTAGTCTTTTCTAAACATTCTCAATATGACTAAGGCACTTCTGAAGACACTAAATAAATTTTTCCTTAGCTTCGCGCATCCTGGTATATGCTTTTAAATTTACTGGATCAGGTGTTACTGCCTAGTCCTCGATTTTCTAGTTGATGGGTTCGGATCCAGATGCTAGGCTTTGTAGCCGCCGATGGGATTCGAAATTGAATTGTTCCGTTTCAGACAGAGACAAAGCTTATTTCTACTAAGTTGTTACCGCCCCTTGGCTTAATGTCGCAGTGATCTCGGGTTCATTTTTCAGTGTAAGTAACGATTGCGAGTTTTTAGTGACTATCTTCTAACCCACACGAAAGGATGCAATTCTACGGCAAAAAGAAAGTTACTTGAACAATCGTACTGCTTCACTTCTAAAATCGAAACTGGTTTGGATGTTAACGGGTCTCAGGAAAACCTCTGTTTTCTTTATATATATCATGTTTAGGCGACCATGAATAATTTGGTTTTCAGAATAAATGTACACGAAACTTGATCTATACTTCGCTTTCCTAAAGGAAATTATGCTTACTTTTAGACTAAGATAGTTAATATTTATTTCATTTTTACACTTATTTCAAGATTTTCTTCTTTACTAAGTGGTCGCATTTTCCTCTGGTTCCAATAATCTAGTCAACTATCTTTGTTTTAAACTTAAATTTCCGCGTCTCCGTCGCCGTCAGGTCTATCTTATGATCGAGCATGCTGCTGTTGCTTGTGGTAAAGATGATGTGAAACCCGTTCAGGGCGTCAGCCTTATTTGGTACACAGATCAAGGTCCAGATGGCTCAAATCCTGCAGCAAGCTCGATGGACGTTGCCGAGGAATTGCTTCGTCAAGGCGTCGTATATATGGAGCCCAGCATGCCTCACATTCTAAGCATGCCGCGCCATCTTATCGTGAGGTATTCAACTACACAAAAGGCTGCCAAGGACCAACGCCTCAACATTTGGCAGTATGGCGACTTCCGTGAAGACTTGTCCGGCTAGGTGTCTCACCTGGTTTAAATACTCTTATTGAGCATTCAGACTTCAGTCTTCAATTTGGTTACCCTATTTCGCGCCCAATCCTTATCTTAGGTTATCAAATCATGCATTCTATTTTTTGCGCTTTATCTAGGAACAATCGTTTGCATTTGCCTGTTTATTTGCATCTGCTCTACTCGTGACCACAGCTATTCAACATACATATACATACTGTTGTAGTTTATCAGCATCATCTCTATTGAAGATGAAACAAAGCTATGATGAGCAAGCAGTCACCTAGTGATGTAAAAAATTGTAAGAATTTGATTTTCTTGTCCCGGATGTTACTTAATTTCCTTTCTCACGTTTCACTGCATCATCTTAAATCAAAAATGCATTATTTTCACTTTTAACTAGTGCTGTGCACTGCCTGTCTACCTCGAATTATATTCCATCTCCTGCAAGTCACTGTAGTTCCTTAAACGAGGTCAGGTAATAAGAATAAGAGGTCCCCCAGTTGCTTTATTGATGACCCAAACAGCCTTCTCTTTGAATACAAATAAAGTCATTGGTTTATCGCCTTACGTTCTCCATTGCAATTGGCTAGAAAATTAGTCTTTTTTCACAAATAGTATGCATCAACAGACAGAATGACAATTTCGATCTCGCTTAGGTATCACCGGCATCCCCACTAAAGTCTAAACCCGAGTAATGCAGCACATAAGATAGGCGGGTTGACCACGTTAGACTGCCGCAAGTTCCCCTGGGCTTCTTAACTGTAAGTATGTCTTAAGAGAGGGCCACTCTGACCCTAGGTTGGATTCAGCGAAAGCCTCACTCCATTTAGGGCTGCGGCCTCAACAAGGGTTGGGTAACGGAATTTAACCACCATTTCACCTTACGCATCCACTGGTGACTAAAGGTGCCATTCGAGATTTAACGATAACTGTGAAATGCCAATATACACAATGCGACTGACCATAATAACAAGTAGGGCTCGGCCTATAGTCATAAGAAAATTACATGCGAAATACCCGCCCGCCAGGGCCAACTGTTTGGATGCGGCGGTGGCTGCAACAGCTACTGCACCCGTTATACCCAGGCAGGCGAAACCACGACCGAGAATACAAGGTGGATCAAAGTTATATGGAGCCGGGAATTGTGGGCGCAACTACTACCATTAGCAGACCGTCATTAATCGATGCGACCTAGGGTGAACACAGCTCCTATGTCAGTACTAGCGAAGTCGATAGCGCGTTTGCTC